TCATTTTAAGAATAGAAAGTCAACATTGGAAAGAAAGGAAAGGGTGGGACGGAAAAGTGACAGAGACGCTAAATACATCGAGAGAAAAAAGCTTGAGTCGAAAATGGAAAAGGAGAAAATAGACGGATGAGAAAACCAAGAAATGATGAAAAGGCTAACTGTCGAAAAGTCGAAAGTGGGAGGAGAGCAAACAACAGAACGAGACAATAATTTAATAAACGCAAGGAAAAGGCTCCACAGCTATTAGTTCCCGCCTCTTGTATTGTGCTTGTCACGTGTCACTAGTTCTTTTCAGTCGCTTTGGTAAGATTACCATCGGGGTTACAGTGTACGATTTGACAAAGTATCACATGTCGTATACCTTTAGAAAAATAAAATAAGTTGTACCTAATGTAGGTAAAAAACAAACACGTTCTTTATAAATCCTAATGCAATAAAATAAGCAGAAAAAATATTGGACCTTTCGTGGAAGCAAAACATTTTTTCGCACTCAAATTTTATTTTTATTATTGCTTATTTTGTCCTTCTTCTACCACAACTTTTATCATCCATATTTAAAATTTAAAATTATTTAATTCTGCCCAAATACGTACATGATAGCTGTCTTTTCGTCGTCAAGTAATGACTATCGCAAGATATCATTGTAAGACTCATGTACTGCACGACAATTTTTTGATTTGGAGAGAGATGTCCATACATACATACATAAATTTGACCTCTACTCGTTTTCTAAGCACATTAGGGCTGCTAGCCAATCCCTGTTGCAGAAGCTGCTCAGGCACATTTGTGTCAGTTCAACTCTCACAGAAATCACCTGTGAATTATTGTGCAACTATACAGAGCCGAGCTTAGTTACAGGTACTGTGGGGGAGCGCATAATCTGGTGTGATCAGCAGTACGCACAAACCCTCGTTCACGATGACTTATGACTTCGTGCAAACATAAAACCATCGACGGTTTCTACCCAATTTTACTTTTAAGATTTGGGTAAACCAGCAGTATGTTTTTTTAGACACATTCCAAAGATATGGCGCAGTAGGAACGACTTTGCAGACTGGTAACATCAAGAAGTCTCCTTCCTGACGAATCGTTTCATGATCGGAAAGCGAGCATTCCAAACATTCAGCCCACGTGTATGTGTGTGCAACGCACACACACACACACACACGTGTGTGTGTGCGTGTGTGTATGCGTATATATATAAACACTGTTTAAAAAAAGAACGGTTTTTTAATATATATATATATATATATATATATATATATATATATATATATATATATGTATATATATATTACATTTAACCATTTTTAAACAGTGTTTATATATTACTAAAATATTTACAGAAACAATGTTTATGTATTACTAAACAGTTTTAGTAATACTCTCTTTCTCTCTCTCTCTCACACACACACACACATATATATATATATATATATATTTATATATATATAAATTAAATATATATATAAATTAATAGAAATAATATAAATTAAAAGAAAAGTCACATGTACTAATTATATTACTGAAAATATAACCAGTAAATATATCTATAAAAACAATGGGACTTCGCATATTTATCGGTTACGCATCCTGATGTCTCCTACTTATTAATGAGGCATTAGATTGTTTTGGCAATAGTACATATTAATGGCGATTATATTACCATTAAATGGAACATCATTTTAATAAGTAGTTGCTAATATATTGCGTTTTATTTCTTTCGTGTTAGTTTTCTTTCGTTATTTTTTTTTATTTTCAGGTGAAGAAAAAGTAGAATTCTTTCTTACAAGCGACAATAGAATTAATATCAATAAAATTGTAGATTACATAGACAGAAAGTATAACCAATATATTTGTAAAATTATTAAAGGACATTCATCATTTTTAAATAAATATATGAGCATATTAGTTAGTAATGGGAGAAGATTTATTTATTCTATTTACTTGTCATAATAATGATAAATAGTATATATATATATATATATATATATATATATATATATATATATATATATATATATATATATATATGTGTGTGTGTGTGTGTGTGTATGGGGGTGTGTGTGAACGTAGAAGCTTTAAAAAACCTTCTAAGGAAGAAAGGTTATGAAAATAAGGCACCGTTAATATTAATCTTTCTTCTCTATTCGTTATGGTATTATTAATGATTGTTATAACTAGTTTTCAAGTGAATACGATTTAATCACCCGCAATTAATCAACAGCTATAAACTATTTGCTTTAAGTACATCAACTGTTGGTTCGTATTGTACAACAGCTGTTGAACAATAGCTTCTTTTTGCCTTCTATTGAAAACTGTCCGCTGAAACTACTGACATGTTATAGTTAAGTATCTACTGCCCGGACAATTCATCACTGACATAAAAGTCTTTACAACAGTAAAAGAAAGGAAATAATAATAATAATAATAATAATAATAATAATAATTTGAGCAGGATATCCTCTGGAAGATATGTTAGTATTACTACGCACCGCATGCCGAAAAATGGTGTGATCATCACCCTGAAACAATGAAATGAAGCAATGAAGGTACTATTTTGTGAGGCTTTACTATTCATACTGACAGATATATCAAAGCGTGTAGACCAGACAATGTAATTATAGTCTACAAACAAACAAACAAAAATAATGCCTTCTCGTAAATGTAACAATGCCCTCAAATAAGAAATATATCTCTTTACTTTTATACCTACAATAACTGATCGATCCACACTGCGTGCTCCATACTTTTGGCCTTGTGCCACATCTAAGCTACATTTAGTAAATTATTTGGGGTACCTCGACGTGGTGTAATGGTTAGCAAACATGTCTTGAGTAGCGAGTTCGATCATCATACTCGCAGCCTTGTGTGTCACATCTAAGCTAGTCTTATTAGAAAAAAAGAAACACTTCCAAGCGGTATAATGGTTAGCAAGCTTATCTCGCTTAATCAGTTACAACTGAGTAAGATCCTCATTAGATCTCCTTATTTTCGGCCTTGTGTCACATCTAAGCTATGCTAAGTAAATTCCTATACATAAACTAATTGGAGCCCTGGGGAGATAAAAAAAGGATACAGACAAGAACATTAAAAGATTCCCTGGCAGCCCATATTTAATGGAGATACCACAAAATGTGTTAAGTCATCTACTCAGAATATTATCAATGTAATGAAACGTAAACATTGTACATGTTAAGTAATACGTAACATCAGAATTTGTGTCCACAGAATGCATATATTTACAACCATGTCTTACTCTAAGTCTCGGGTAATGATTTGAGAAGAGATTGTGCTAAACAGAAATAAATAATAATAATAATAATAATAATAATAATAATAATAACAATAACAACAACAACAACAACAATAATAACAACAATAATAACAACAACAATAATATTAACAATAATAATAACAAGTAGAGCTCACTCATTACGAACGGTTTTATCTATGTAATATGTGTGCAAAAATGATCAGTGGAAAATGTCCTGAAGCCATTTCTGACCTTAGTTGGGACCCAGAAAGAAATGGGTATGGAACAAAAATTAAAGAAAATAATAATAATGATAATAATAATAATAATAATGGATTTCTTTTGATAATGCCATAAAATGTATGAACAAATGTATTTAACTTCCGAGTATACAAATTTTAATGACAGTAAACTGCGACTGAAAAATTTATATCTATTGAGTTGATATAACGATAAAATGACGTAATTTGTCGAAAATAACCCTGTACTTTTTTTTATTTTATTTATGAATCAAGATAGAGTATCTGACCTTTTTCTCAGACTTGTTAAAAATAACATTTTATACGGCCTGCTTAAGTTCGGTCACTTAAAATACCAAATGTCTAATAAAAAGACTAAACAGTTTTGCATGTTAAATTTCCTTGCTGCTTCCTGTGACATTCTCACCCATATTTTAAATTGTAGATTTTGATTTTAGAGCTATAATTCCCATTATTATTATAATTTCTTCACTTACTGACAGTTTCGTCTCTTAAATGTAAAGCGTAATTTGTTAAAAGAATCTTTACATTTGAATTGTAAAATGGCAGGTGTTCATCCTGAAAGACCTGTGGCAAAATTTGCAATAAGTGCGTTTCTTAGTCAACTATTCACGAACAGAAAATTTTTTCGAGCATTTTATGAAGCTAGATTAAAATTTACAGGTTAATTTTAAATTATAGCTTAAACAACGTTATAAATGAATCATAGCAGGACAGATTAAGTCCTATAAGCTTTGGTGGCGAACAAGACAAGGAAAAGGACAACTGTGAATTCAAAGCCTGCGAAGGGTCGTTTGGTGACCCTGTGGCACACAGTGCACCATTTCTCTGTATTCGGCTTTTCCAAAATGTGTGATTGATTCTGCATAACCCTTCACCACTATAATCAAATGATATGTGCGAATAGTCTGGCTTTTGGTTCTAAGAATAGAGCTGCTTGACCCTTATACGTAAAAAATACGATGAGTCCAGTGAAGTTATATATACATATGCATGTATATGTATATATGTATATGTATATATGTATATACAGTGTAACCCGGATATAAGAGAGCTGTCGGGACCGGAGAAGTCTCTTATATCCGGGTTTCTCTTATATCCGGGTTTGGTCTATTTTATATACATTAACACAGGCTCTAATTTGGGACCAGAGAAAATCTATCTTATATCCGGGTTTCTCTTATATCCGGGTTTCTCTTATATCCGGGTTTCTCTTATATCCGGGTTTCTCTTATATCCGGGTTACACTGTATCAAAGTGTAGGAGAACGAACAGTAAGATTACAGCGTTCAGAACATTAATTTTAAAACAATGCCCAATACACAAAATCGAGCCGTAAATATTTATTTATCTAATAGCATGTTACATTAGAACATGCACATATCCACTACAAAATTGTACATTTTTGTTTCAACGTCAATATATATATATATATATATATTGGTTGGTGCAAAAATAATGTCGTTTTCTGACGGTCAACTTAACGTCAAAAACGACATTATTTTTGCACCAATCTAATATATATATATATATATATATATATATATATATATATGATTGTATTATAATTATAATGATAATTATTATTACTACGTAGAACATTTCTTTCGTCATGCTCTCAATTTAAAGTTAGAATGAATCG